ACGCACTAACATCTCCCACTTTAAAAAGAAAACCCTGCCAGACACCAAATCCTTCTCCAACTACCAATCCATTTCTCATGCCTTTTACAACAAAACTTGGAGTTGTTTGACCCGCTCATTAACTTCCTCTCCTTCCACTCACTCAACCCGTAGGTGGGTGTTTATCCCACTCCTCCACTAAGGCAGCTCACCAAGGCCCAGGACCTCTGCTTAGCCACACCCACAGCAACTTATCATCCTCCTTGGAGCACGTCTATCACTAGCTCTGGAACACCACCCTCTCTAAGCCTTCTTCTGAACTTGCTTGCTACCCTTCTCGTCTCTAGCTAATTCTTCTTGACCTCTCAACTCTGGGATACGGAGTTCAGTTCTTGACCCCTTCTCCACTACCTAAACTCACATGCAGGTGATCTCATCCTGCCTCATTCAAATACTATCTACATGCTCAGGATGACTTTCAAATTGACATCCCCAGATTAGCCCCCTCCCCTAACTCCCAACTCCATATCCCACTGCCCACATAACTTCCACCTGGATATCTAATAGGCACCTTCCACATAACAGCTAAGTTCAAACCTCAACTCCTGGTCCCCACACCAGCCCTGCAGTCTTCCCCACTTCAGGAAACAGCAGCTTTCTCTCCTTCTGTGCCTCAAGCCAACAGCCTTGGCAGTCACCCTTAACTCCTCTCTCTCACACCCCATGGAAAGTCCTTCAGCAAATCCTTCTGCTTCTTCCTGCAAAGAAGACACCAACCACGTCTCCCCACTTTGGTGGCTGGAAGCCACTCTCAGATCTTGCCTGGATAATTCCCTATTCCCTTCACCCCATAGACACACCTTCTCTACACAGCAATTTTTTCTTTTTAAACATCTGAATCAGATTATGAAACACCTCTGTTCAAACTCTCCAATGAGTCAAAAAGACTGACAATACCAAATTTTTGGCCAGGACACAGAACAACAAGAACTCTTGTACATTTCTGATAGAATTATAATGGTTCAACTGCTTTAAAGGACTGGTTGGCAGTTTCTTACGAAGTTAAGCATCACCTGTCCTATAATCCAGCAAGCCCACCTAGATTTGTATTTACCCAAGAGAAATAAAGACAAATATCCACAAAAAAACTTACACAAGAGTGGTTATAGCAGCCTTCTTTTTTGGTGGCTAGCTGGCATAGGGATTGAACCCTGGTCCTTGGTGTTACCAGCACCATGCCATAGCAGCCTTATTTAGAACAACCCAAAATAGGAAACTACCCAAATATCCACCAACAGAAGAATGGGTGAACAATTATACAGTATGTTTACACAATGGAACAATACTCAGTAACGAGAGAATGATGTAATGATACATGCAACAAAAGGGGTGAATCCAAAAAATATTCTGCTAAATGAGAAGTCACAGACAAAACGTGACATACTAGATGATTCCATTTATATGAACTCCTAGAACAGGTAGAACTAATCTATGGTGCAGAAGTCAGGAGGCAGTGGTCTCTCAAGCAGGGTCTACTGATTGGATAGTGGTGCCTCACTGCTTCTCACCACAGTATGGCCCATGTAGAAGTCCCGGGCCACTCTCTGCACCTTCTCTGGGCTCTGGCCTGCAGTGAGATAGGTTTTTGCCCATATCACCTTGAGTCTGGATGGGCCCAAACTGCCAGAAGTTGAGATCAAATAAGAAGCTTGGAGAGGATGCAGTGCTAAGGGAGCCAGGTCTGGTGGGGCTCCCTGCTTAAAAAAAAAGAAAATGCCCCTCAAAGCAGAGGAATTAGGGTTTCCCACTATGTTTAGGACCACTAGAGTCACCTGCCCCTCTAGGACAGGGAGCAAGGGAGACACGTCCAAGCAGTATTTCTTAAACTGATTTCAGACTGGCTGGCTGAAAGAGTCCTTGCTTCTAGGAGGTAGGTACCCCCAGGTGATTCCCAACACAGGGGGGGGGGCTGTCAAAATCACTTGGGGGCTTTTTGAATTTCACATGCATGCCTGTACCACATCCCCACAAAAAAATAAAATTTTTTTCTATAATGAGCCACTCACATCTCTAAGGTAGGCAAAAGATTGTAAAGCCTGTCAGCATCTTTGCTCTATATTCTTTTGTTTTTTTCTAACAGCTTATTTGAGGCATAATTAATATACTATACAATTCACTTAAAGCGTACAAGTCAATGGTTTTTACTATATTCAGAGTTCTGCAACCCTCTCCTCAATCAACTTTAGAACATCATCATCCCAAAAAAGAAACCCATAACCTCTCTATCACCTCCAAAACCCCCATACCTAGGCAACTACTAATCTACTTTGTCTCTATAGACTTGCATATTCTGGACAGATCATATAAATGGAATGAAACAATATATGGTCTTTTATGCCTGGTTTCTTTCATTGGGCATCGTGTTTTCAAGGTTCATCCACACTGTAGCATGTGTCAGAACTTCATTCCTGTTTATGGCTAAATAGTAGTCCATCGTATGTTGATACATTATAGAGAACACATGAAAATAATGCAAGACAACTATTCTGCTCCCCAACAAGCTGGTCTACACTCGTTAAAAA